GTTACCTAACAGCACAATTCTTGAATATCACCCTTCCAGGCTGACTTCACAGCGCCAGCAGAAAAATGACTAAGTTGTTCTGTGACACATATTTCTGGGATTATTACACAGAGGTTTCTGATGTACCTCTGTACATGTCAGCGATGCTCAAGGATGCCCCATGTCAAAGCTAACATCTCTCCCTGTCTGCAGTCCTAAGTGAGTCACTTTGCTCCTTATGCAGGGCTCATGCTTGTTTTCTTTTCCGCTGGAAGGGACCCACAACCGCCATCGCACTGCGTGAGCCGCAAAGTAAGCTAGTTGACAGAAAAGGGAGAGAAGGTGGTGCACCTTAAGAGGTGCCTCTTAAATGGCACCTTGCTTAAGAGGCACCTCTCTGTTGATGACTTACTCTGAGTTCTCTGAATCCGATTCATAGGCCTGAGGACACCTGTGTCCTTTCTTTCCTAAAAAAATTACCAAGTGGGTGGCGAAGGCATACATATCACTACTTTCTTTTGAACTTTGACTGTAGGGGATGCCACGTTTCTTTCCCTCCCACATTTTTTTCCTTTTCACTCTGGCCGTGTGGCTGGTGCACCTAGCATGAAGTCAGAAATGTGGGTTCATTTCCATTTCTGCTTTTGAGGACTTAAACTCGTGTTTCCCCTAATGGCCTATTCCAAAACACGTTTGGGGCACTCTCCTCTATTCTTGCTGAAGTTCCATCTTGTACTTAAACGCTGGTGGCCGGAGGAAGGAGACAACCCTCTGTAACCCACTGTCTCCGGAGGAGGAGCGCTCTGCCTTCTCCTCCCTTCTCCGGGGGCTGCGTCTATGTTTTGTCCAAGTAGCTGCCTCATGACAGCTGTATAATCAGAGAGACAGGGACATACCCACATCTTTCACCTCCATAGGAGTGACCTACCTGTTCGGTTACAGAGTCATGCTCTTCTTCCCCTCCCACCCTCAGAGAATGCAAAAGAGCATGAATGAGTCGCTCAGAGTCACGTGTGGATCCTGCCTCGCTGGGCCCATGTCCCTCTCTCTCTGGCCCGGTGAATCACAGATCATTTCTGTGTAAACCTCATGAGAAGGGAGGGACAAGCCTTCTCTGTGATTCCCACACACACCCAGTCCTGTTAAGTCCCCAGTCTCGCCTACTGACTGATGGGTTAGGCAGGGGAGAAAGACGGTGTTGGATCCCTCCAGGCAAAGGAGAGGGAAATGAACCTTCTCTTCTCCAGCACCCTTGGTGAGAGCTCCAACCTCTGGGCAAGAGATGGTTCCAACAGGACTGCCTCTGGACTTATTTTAAAGGAAACTGGTGATTATTAGTGCATTTTGTGCAGGGCCTGAGCTGAGTGTGCAACTGACTGGCATGCTGACTAGACAGACGGAGGCCATCAGCGCAATAGCTGGAGGAACACCTCACCTGTGAGTTGCAGCAGCGATGAGGCATTCCTTCAGTCCTGAGCCACATACTCGCCCCGTGAGCCCGGCAATGCCTCCAAACAGAACCTAGCAGCTCATGAGCATAAAGGTCAAGAATGCAACCACCACCAGCAAACACGTCAAGCACAATATATATTTTATTGGTTTCATTTCCAAGAAAGTTAAAAACCAGACTGAAGAAGAAATGAATAGCATAATCTCTAAAATTTATGAACAACAATCACAGTTTTTATGCAGTCCTTCCTTTTGATTTGTGTATAATTTTGACAGAAGGGTGACCTAAAATTTTGACCATATTTTGAAGGATGCCATTGAAAGTATATAAATCATAAACGGTATCTGAAATATCTTAGTCATATCAGAGAACAGAGAGTTCAGAGGCTTCTCCTAAAAATGCTGATTTCTGTTCTGTGATTCCAGCCTCCTGACTATTATTAGAGCTTCTAATAGTCACCATTTTTGCCTTGAGATCTGAGAAGGAGTCAAGTCCCACAGAAAACGGAATGTGTCTGAATAATTCATTGTAAGGAAATATGGACTTAGTTTTCAAATATATAGAGGACTTTCTACATACAGCACTCTGGAAATACTGTATTAAGTACATTTCTTATCCATATAAGGTAAACATGTATCTGCAATTAGTCCAAAGATTTAATTTTGCAGCAATTAGTTTTGCATCCAAGTGCTCACTTAGATGAAAGAGCCTGCTTTCATATGAAATGATCTTTTTTCTATATACTCTAAAGATTGAGAAGTCACCCCTTATAGAACATATAATCTTTCTATGTAATATATACAGTGTTTCAGTGTTTAAGCCCTTTTAATTTCTGCAGTACCTGGGTTTGCATTATGCTAAGTTTCTTCTTTCTTTGAATTTTTTTTCACATTATGGGAGGGATGCTCTTTTCTACAAACTTACAGGGCATCTCATTTAAAAGTGACTCTTCCTACTTCAAGATTTTCCACAGAGTATTGGCACTGAGAAGAATTTGTCTTCATTGATGGGAAGACATATCGATACTGGCGGGACCACTCCACTTACTAGAAGGGAAGTATTATCCTTTGTTGAGATGAAAGATTCCTTATATCTCTTCCATCAATCTGAAGCGTCATGACATTTTCTATCACTGTAGCACAAGGATGTTCCTTCTGGGAAATGCACAGAATATACTAATGAGTACATACTCATATATCAGAGAAAATCTTTTTTTCCCCCTGTAAAATGACAAAATTATTCTTGATCTAATATTACTAAGCCACAGTAGAGAGAAAGTGTAATTGCCTGTAAATAATAGGTCAAAATGACCAAGCATGACATTTTTAAAGTTCAAATCCTCTCATCCTTAGTTATCATACATTGCATTAAGGCTATTCACAAACAGTATTTGTCAAGCCACTGTGTACCAAAGTGACTTATTTTGTAGTAAATCCAATAACAAGTGAAACAGAGCTTGCTGAGGTTTGCTTTCAATTTCCTTTTCTAACTCCTGTGCCATTTTAAACAAATGACATACTGGTGAGGTGAAGAGGACAGAGCAAAGCACCAGAGATCACCTGAAGGTCAGCATACAGCAGGTCTCTTCATATGAAATTTGCCAGAGCTGAGCTGGCTTTCTATCCAAAAAAACAATGTTCTGCATAACAGAAAGGCGTTGAGTGAAACAGTTAAGAGATTTAGATACCAGGAAACTGCTTTTCAAGGTTCCAAAAAGCCTGCTCATTACAACATCAGATAATTGACTATTAGACAGATAAAACCCCTGCTTTTCAAAGCAGACATCAAGGAGCAGGGCTTGGGCTCTGAAGTGGAAGGTACAACTCTCAAAACTGATCCTCAGTTTACATACATATGAAACACCTCTCTCTTTCCATGTATTTTATGGCAGGTTGTAAGAAACAGATAATGTCTCTTCTCATTTCCATTACAAAGCTCTGCTGAGAGACTAATAAGAGTCTGTTCCAGCTGAAGTGAGTAAAACCAGTTCTTCAAAAGAACAAAAAAAAAAAATAAAAGAGGAAAGAAGAAACCAGTTAAAAACAAAGAAGAAGAAGAGAAAGAAAAAAGACCATCTTTGAATTCTGATTCGCACACTGGGCAATGTGCTTTCCTTTTCCCATCGTACGCTGCTCTGAGGTAGTCGCTCCCCTTTCAGAATGACTGTTTGACCAATTCTTCCACAAAGCCGCCTGCTCCCCTCCAGGGATATACTCAAACAACTCAAGGATTGCTTCAGCCAGAAGCACTTTCACACAGTTTGAGCCAAAATTTGCCCAAGGAAGACCTAAATCATGCTGGATGAGAGTTCTGTTGGTGCTGTTAACGGGGTCAAAATTTCATTTCCCAAACAGCAACAGAGCGGCCAGCCTAGGAGAACTTCCTCTTCCAGAAGGACTTCCTGGAAGCACGAAATCGCCCTGTGGCTGGCTGGACACATGTTGGGGGTCATAAAACACCTGGCCTCAAGGTGTTCAGTCTTGCATTACATTGACTTTCCCTGTGTTCTTTTGCTGTGTGACTTGCTTGATTTATTTTTTTCATTTTCACAATAATTGATATTTCAGACTAAGTCCTAGATTTCAGACATTTGCCCTCAGAAATCAGAAAGCATGAGTCATATTTAGGAGAGTGAAGAACTCAAAAGCCTTCTAAAAAGGACATTATCAAATGCACAAAGAGTAAGAAAAAAGAATACTTTGACGTGTTTGGGATGGAGAAGCATCCAAACTTTCAAGAGTTCCCTTAAGTGGCCATTAGGGACCGCTAAGGATAAACAAAGTTTGCATAGAAAACATGACTGTATTAGTTGAAAAATCTCTAATTAGAAAAAAATGTGTCAACATCCACAAATACGTAAGGGAACAAGTGTGCAGGAAGTCATCACATAAAATAAATCAGATGGAAAAGTAGCAAATGTGAATGAGAGAAAGAAGTCGAGAACAAATGGATGAAATTGCTTCACAGAGAATGTGTTTTGCAAATGGCATGCTGAATTTTCACTGATCTTTGTGCCTTTTTGGCATCCTCGCACACTACTTCTGAAGAGGGAGAGACAGATTTCCCAATAACAGTTCCCTCTTCTCCGGTGCTTTCACTGAAAAGCTGAATGGACTGCTACTCTCATGCCACTCTCCCACTGTTCCCTTCCCACCCACACTGCTTCTAAAATACGTCCTGCATCCTCTCTCCCAATTGTGGTTTTAGCAGAGCAACATAAGGAAGTAGTGTATTGTTGTGTTTACTTTCCTTCATCGAGATGTGGGTTTCTGACAACGATGCTGGGCTTGTTTTGAGAGTCATCCACCAGTAAAACTTGATCAAACCTGTTGCATCCTGAAGCAATTGAGCAAAATAGAGTTATGGCTGCTGTAACCTAATCACAAGCAAAAACATGTAGGTGAGCTGTAATTATCAAGGGTTCTGCCATCTGATAACATTTACAGCAAACAGAAAATTAAAAGACTTAAATCAGAAGCAAATGAGTGGAAGCTTTTTCTTTTTTTTTTTCAATAACTGACTACTGACTTTTCCCTGAAGTTGCATATAAATCTCATCTCCACCAGAGAATCTATCCTGAACATTTTTCTTCACTGGATGTTGGGGGCTGAATTTCGGTATTCTCCTTCAGCACTGGAAGTACTTGAGACCCAACCGATAAAATATCTGGAAAGGGTGAGCGGAAGGGCTGGTTCATCAGGTATATGCCAAAGTTGGTCTGAAAAAAGCAAAATATTTATTAAGACACAACTCATGTTAAAGTAATCAGATCTATAGAGGATCTCACAACCCAGATATGTTTAGAAGAACAATATTGCTTTAAGAATAAGGAGGTATGTACTATCTCCATGTAATTAAGAACATTTTTAACTAATTAACTATAATAAACTGGTAAAAAAAGCTACCCCCATGCTATTCAAGAAGAATACCTTAAGTAAATGGATAAATAGTGTATTATTTCATCATGAGTGCCATAGTATCATATATGTAATTTACACTCCCTCACAGTCTTCTCATTTAATGACTCTTCTGACTTCTTGAAAAATACAGTTAATGCATTATCACAGATAAAGGCTAGGCAGCATGAGAATGCATGTATGTTCAAACAGCGAGGAAGTCTTGTGTCTTCTAGCATGAATTATTCATCTTGTTAACAGAACTTTGTTCTGTCTAGCCTTCGTGAATTTCCCTTCATTTGTTTTTATGAGTATTTTAGTATATTTTACAGAAAATACTCAGAAAGTTTGGTTTATTAGGACTACCACTTGTTATCTATCACATTACCTGTGAAGCCATCCTACATAAATAGTAGAAATACTTAGATATGTGTCTGTGTGATACTGAATAATAAAGAAAAGGGGAACAGGATAACCACTTCACCCACTGACCGTACAACCCTTGAGGGCACTGAAAACCTGATCTGAGTGTCTGCACTCTTATGTCTGGGCTTAATCTTAAGCATGTTGAACATTACAGTTGTAGCTGTGAACAGCTGCGTGTGATCTGGAAATGTCACAGGAAGGGACTGGTGTGTTTTTTTGGTTTTGTTTTCCAACACTGGAGAATTTAGAAATGCACAAGAAACAGACTTGCAATCTCATGATAATATTTTCCAAACTATTAGACAATGGCTAATTAAAGAAATATGTAAAGTAAGAAATAAAGGAATGCTGAAGACCACGTTAAATTGATAATTGATTTGTAGACTTCAGAATGTCTTTGTTCTTCAAACTGGGGACCTTGGAAACCCAATGCTAATTTTCTTGTCTTTTTTTACAGGTTTCAATTAAAAGTATTTTGTTTTGATAGGCTACAGCCAAAATGTACCAGCCACTCTAAAGTGTAAAGTAAATAAATAAGCAAATGAAGTTCATTTGGTATTTCTGAAAAAATAAATCATAAAAACAAAACTCTATTCTCCTTCTCCATTTCCTGATTACATTTACTGCCATTGATCAGATCGATGATCCTGAAATTGAGGGAATTACATTTACAGGAAGTTTAGAAAAATACACTAGGTAAAAGGAATTGCAATAAATTAAAAAAAATAGTGTTAGCTGAATTTAAGGGAGCATATTTGACAGACTAAATATGAAGGCAGTATGTTTTCTCCTGTTCTTGCACTGTATAATTAAATACAGTAACGAGGTAACACGAAACAGCTTTTAGTCTTTGAAGAATTAGCAAGAGGTAAGGCTAAGACCTACTCCCAAGTAAGAGAGATGCTGTAAAGCAGAGATCTATCCAAACATGGCCTCAGACTCTGAACTTGGTCTTTCTGTTTCACTTGTAATCCTAAACATTACAAAGAAAAACAGCTCCCAAGGAGAGGTTTTTTGGCTGCTTCTGGTATTCCTTCACTGGCATTTCACATATATGGGGTATGAGTTGGACCTGATCAGGCCTATCTTGACACTTTTTGGATACCTGTGACCATAATGGTGTCCACACTGGTGAACAAAGAGTAGATCCTTATGCTCAGTGTTCTAGTATTTAATGCTGAGGAACGACTGCAGCACAGTAAGATCCCAATCCTCTAGCACAGTGACTGTGCTGGATCAACCATGATGCTAAAATGGTAAGCTAGCAACTGCTTCATTTAAAATATTAAAGTACATAGTATTATTTTTCTGTTCTTGCTTTTCTCTTATTTTTTGGCAAGCTGTGGTTTCTCTGTTGGCATAAATGATGTGGTTTTCAGCCTTGTGGTTAATAACCTGGATTTACTTCCTATACCCTGGTGCAAAAATGACAGTTGCCATAATTTTGTTGTTTTAAAAAATCAGACAATCATAAAACAAATATTGTAAAATGAATATTAGTCCATGCTACACCACATTTCACACAGGAAGGCATTTTATAACTCATCCATGTAAATGAACTTGCTTGATATGTGAGAAGTTTTTATTTATATTTACTGTATTGACATCTTGATTTATCTTAAAATGAGACTAAAATAAATCTGGGCAGATTGTTCACTGTCGAGAATTTAATTTACCAATTTTTCTATTGTTGTGACTCATTTCGCAAGAATTTTTTTCTTAAAGCACTTTAAACCATTCATAATTATTTAAGAAAATGCATATGTGAATACATCTTACCTTCAGGAGTTCTCAAATACTATTTTAATACTGGTCTTTAGTATTTCCCTACTGTGACTGGGCATCTAAAGTCTCACAGTAATTTTTTCAGTGCTGAGACTGGGTGATGCCCAAGGAGTTTTCAAGGTGATGATATACTGATGATATACGTGCTTGGAATTGCTGACCTCTTTCTTTTGTGAATGTTCTTCAGACTAAAACTTAGCTTGCAATTACCAGAAGTGTATTTAATATCTTTTAAGTAAATTTCCTTGTTTTTCCAATAATTACAAATATTTACTCAGCAAATACTGATAATAGCAACCCACCCCCCAAGCAACCACAAAAGCTGTGCATCCTGCCATTTCAGCTCTGTTTCAAGAGAAAGATAAAATATAGAAATTGGCCCTTCTCACATTTCACTGTTGAAAAATGAAGCTTTCAGATGCAGAGATTACAGCCTGCAGAGTTATTACAATGAACAGCATAATCTCTCTCTGCTGTTGCTACCTTTTCCTGATTTCAAGGGCATTTTATTCTGCATATAACCTCGCCAGAACACACCCAGAACTAGGCAGGGAGTGCTGGACTGTGAGTTCTGGGGATGTATCTGCTCAGTCTTCTGATGGCAGTAGGGGCTCTTCCCATCACTCTTCACAGGGACAAAAAATGTAAAGCTTCATGATTAGTGAAAAGCACAATACTGCTGGGAGAAACAGATAAAACATACTTATTCTTGCCAACAGTGAATCATATGATAGTCATTACACTCGCTTAAAGGAGGAGCTACAAAATGCTGTCATTCTTGCATGTTGTTTCAAGTACTGGATCAACAGTAACAGGCACTGCTTAGATATTCACTGACAGAGAAATATCCTGGGTGCAGTATCTCCTTTTGTAAGATAGAAACCTGAGGTGCTACATCTGACAAAAGCTGAGATGAGATGCCTTCAAGCTACAGCTCCTAAACAATCAGTTAATGCAGATTAGCACTTGGTAGGGAAAATGCCCTCTAGAATGTGTAACAAGCACGTAAGCGATACTGCATGCTACAGCTTAGCTTTGGATGGATGAGTTCTGGCTTTTGCCCCTGGATGTAGCTCTCAGCTGCCTTCTCCCAATAGATAAATTTATCTGTTCATGTCTTCTCATTTTATTGATACAATAACATAACCTCTCTCCCACGCAAAGGTTTGGGACATGCAATTATTAAAGTAGAATATTTTTTTTTTTTTAACGTAAGGATGCTTTATTAGCTCTGGATTCACCAAAACTTATTAGTAAAGCCTTACAAAATAGGAGAGTGGAAGTACTCACTTTCAACATGCTGATTTTTCACACTGGAAAACAGGGAAACTTTTAACTTGGTATCAAAAAACCCATCTTGTTCTGTTGAAAATATCTGGGCAGCAGAATGTTTTCCTAAGAACTGATTTTCCTTTGCTCTGCCTTAAATAAATGCATTTTCCAGTTCAGCCATCAATGAGAAAAGAGAACCATATTATTTCAGAGGTCTATTAATGACATCAATCACTGTTTGCAAATGTTCCAGATCTTTGGATGAAAAGCATTGCTTAGTGTAAAGCCCTGCATTACTATGAAAATGATGATAATGATGCATCAGATAAGAGAAGTCATTTGCTATCCTTGCTAATGTTTCAGTAAGCAATCCAAAGGCACTCTAATTCTGCAGGGAAAGAAGCTCTCCCAAGGCACAATGAGATACATAAAGGAGGATCAACAGCCTGCAGGAAAAAACACAAGCCTTTCAGTGTATGAGGGCATGTGCAAACATAATGGATTTCCCTTGATGTACCGCTATCCATACATTTATGCTGGGGCAGACTGCTAATGCTATTCCCTTTGCTACCTCGACAGCAAGTCTCAGCTTATAGCACTGCTGCAGATTTACCCACAGGGCTTCCGCTATTGTTAGCGTTAAAAGGCATCTGCAAAACACAGAAGACAGGCAAGAAGTCAGTGTTCTCTCCTTTCGGTCTATGTGTGTTTTGCATCAGGTGGTGACGCATGTGAAACAGCGTGTGGCTGTTTTTATGCTATTTGCTTAATGTAGTTATCTAGTCTTTCGTAGTCTCCTGCAGTAACAGAGAGAGCTCTGTCACAGAAGGAGAGCTCATTTTTCCTTTTCAGTCAAAAATTACAGAAGGAATCCTTAATGAGTGTTTCTTCAGAACTGATGGCAGCAGAGCTCAAGTTCGCTTTGTAGGGGTGTTTGCGTTTTATTTCAAACAATGTGATAAAAGGTTTCATGAAAAGTAGCTGGCTAGGCTTCAGCACCCTGCTTTACATTTATCAGGAAACATGCACATTGCTTGTGTGGCTAATTACAGTAGCTGGTTCTGACTTTCAGCTGCAATCCCTCTATGCAAAGCCTCAATCTTTCAACGTTGAGCACCAGGTTCTCACAGTCTCAGAGGGATGGAGAAAAATATGATTTCAGAAATAAATATCGAACCACCTCTTACAAGACTTACTTTATTTAGCTCACTCTTGAAGTTCATTGGCAGTGCTGTCATTTGGGCTACCAGTTTGATAAAGTTTGATATATTTTTCCAGGTTGGTGTTCTCAGAAAAACAAAGCAAAATGGTAAATATTGACATCTGGCTCTCTTGTTAAGCATTCAGGATTTGCTATCCATTCGCATGTGCAGTATCTTTAATGTTTTGGAAATCAAGCAACTACAACAGCCTTTCAAAAATATCAATTCCCCTTCTACTGGGAAATTAGCTTAAATCTTACTTTGCTGCATTTGTTTTTTGTAGTTCAAATCGCATTATTGACAGCTGGGAACAAACACTGCTAAATTCCTTCACTGAATCTGTATCTGATAAAAAAAGAAAATGAAGATAATTATTTAGATCATTATTAGATGACTCCTTAACAGAAAAGCACATGCTAGAGACATGAGTCACCAAAGGATTAGCTCTGCAATTTAGCACAGTCACATGAACTCGATGTTCTTTCTCTCTCCCGCTGTGAACTGTGAAAGATTTGGATCAATGTCCTCTGTTAGGTCTGCTTAGCACACTGAGGATGCCATAGTCCTCAGGTGCTACTCACTGATAACCAGCTGCTGACCATCACCCCACAGGTGACTTGCAGGAGGGATGGGCTCTGACATCTTCTCAGGCCAGTTCAGGCAAAACTACCAGTTCACACTATCTCTTTCAGCTGTCAAGCTAACCCAGAGGACTTGGCCTTATGCAATGAAGGGCATGCTCACAAGATCCCATCTGCCAGCAGCGCTGAAGGCTGGGAAAAATAAAAAAAAAGCTGAAGGCCCGGTTCTTTGCAGCATGAATATCATTGCGCAGCTGAGGGAAGCAGAGCACTCCCCTGCTGTGAATAGCAGCACTGTGCTCTGCAGCGCCTCGCCTTGCCAGGCGTCTTTTATCTGGTGCCAGGTTGTTCTCAAGAGGCTGGATTGCTCTCTTTGCCTCAGTGCTGTTTGAACGAGTTACTTGGTTCTAGGAGTGCTTGTATCAAGAAAATCTTTGCATTGCTGAGTTAATCAGAATGAAAGAGAAGCTCATCTTTGCTGCGGGAAACATGCAGAAGATGCTTTGTCTCTCCTGGGAATCTGTGCCCCAGGTAAGGTTTTGTTGCCATTTGAGAAAGACCCTAAACACAGAGTGCTTTCCCTCTACAGAGGACTCAAGTCATAATCCAGTAAAACCCACGTGGGCAGAGAAAGCCCTCTGCATACCGCACCCCACGTGGCAGCTGGCAACATCCTTGCCCAGAGTGCCAGAATGCCCTCTGAAGTGTCCCAGATGTTCCAGCTGTGGCTCACCATTACCTGGAGAGGGCTCTTGTCCTCAGGCTACCCACCATGACCAGGAGCTCATCTCACAAAGGCACACGCGCTGTGGCGTTCTGGATGTCAGAGCCTGCTGTGCAACCCTAAGTCATCTCAGGTCAGCGGGAAGCTGTGCCTAGACAGCTGGCCCCTGCCTGCTCGCCTCCCCCGTCTCACTCTGCACCAGGCGGCTGGCTCCGAGGGAGCCGGCGGAGCTATTCACCAAGGATAACATTCATTGAAAATGTAGCCCTTTGTTTGCTTACTGAGTCACTGAGACGAATCGATTTAGTATTTTTTTTTTTTTTTCAAACGAAGAATGCATTATTTGTAACTTGTTTGTGCATTGTTTGGGTGAATAATTTTCAACCTATTTGTTATTGCTCTGCCTCTGTGCTGTGCCCAGTCTCTGGTATTTGGCTGGTACTGGTGAAGCTTCTGAGCCCTGACTGGCTAACGGACTTTTACAACAGAAGTTTAACGAACAGGAAGCAATGAATTTAGAGTAAGGATTTTCAGCTAAATAAATACTTATGAGGAGATTTGTGAAGCTTTTGGGATGCCAAACCGTCTAGCCGTTGTCTGAGCACTCTCAATTCCAAGAAGCAATGCAACCTTAGGAAGCAGAAGGACTCCAAACGAACACCTGTATTTCACGCTTTTTCTCCAGTCACTTTCTTAATCAATTACTCTCCACTTCGACTGTATTCACATCATCTGCTCTGTTTTTCCTACTAATTAGTTTCTCACAGAAGAATAAAGTTTAGTCTTATAAGCTAACTGTATCGTTTCAAACTTTCTCATTTTTCTGCAGATTTCTCTTCTTGAATGACATCAGCGCATCAGCTGGTGTTTTTCAAGACCAAAATAAACACATTGTAAAGTGGTACATACTGAATAAAAGCAAGCACAGTAAAAAATAATGCATATTAATAGTCAATTTCTGAATAAAAACCATGTTGAGCATTTTATGGAAATACACCATGTCATTTCTGGGTTGTAAGTGCATCCTCTTTTTACTGAAAAAACAAATGGTAACAATTAGCATAACAACTTAATCGTGAATATTCTCTCAGCAGATATTTCACTATGCACGCAATGAAGTCACTACATCTTTCCATACAGCTATTTTGGAGTACTGTACTGACCTTTCTGCCTCTGGCAGCAGACAGAGACTGCAGAAATTCTTTGTTTCGTTCCCCAGACTGTTGATCAATGCAGATTATTTGACATCTGCTACACGGACCCACAACCTGAAATTTCAGTTAAAGAAGGTTCACAGGTGTATATCAAAGCAGTACAACACAGAACAGTACAAGCTTCTGACCATCATAATATCTTAAAAACATATCTTTCACATACTTTTCCTGTGTTCTTTTATGCTTTAATTATGTAAGAGGTCAGGCTTGTTCACCTAATGTAGGTACATTTTCAAAGGGTCTACTTGCGAAGGTCTCACTGATTTTTTAATTCACTTTCTCTTTTCTTTTTTTTTCAGGAAAACTTTCCCAGAGACAGAATCTGAGAAATCAAAACCATTTACATATTTGTATTTCCTGATGGCTTCACTTCATCTACGGGCTGGCAGGGCTACTTGCCCAAAGGGGAACGGAATACAAAATAAAGCTAGCACCTCAGTATTTAACCCAAGGAGGATTTTCTTGGAGTTAAACTAACAGGGTTTGGTTTACATTGTTTCAGTGCAGCTGAAATACACAATACCTCCCATTCTTTCTTATAGGTATAGCACTTGTAGATAATCAGAATGCAAGATGTGAATTTTCACAAGTTTATAGAATCAGAAGGAATAATGAAAGCTCTACTGTAACATCGTACAGAGCATCGTTCTTAAAGTTAATTCTTGTTTGAAGTAGGGTGTGTTTTTAGGGGAAAAAATGCAATTCATTTCTTTGTACCTTTTAAAGCATTAAAATTAGGAAGGAAGACATATTCCAGTTTCCCTTAATATTGCAACCCTAACTTTAGCAAAGCTGTATGTTATAGAAACTGTCTTAACAGTATCTCAGTATACACACTACTTTTGTAAAATGTGTCATAAATTTCAAATAGGGCAAATAATTAAACCTGACACTGCAAACATTTTTATATGCTGATCTGAAGTGCTATTTCAGTTCTTTGAGTTACATCTAGCACTGCTCGTACAACTCTTCAGTGTAATCATCAAAACCATACATTTGGCTCAGCTTTTCAGACAATGATTTTCCACAGCTTTAATATTTTATTAAAAAACCAAGAAAACAAGACAGAGAAGGAGATATTTTTTCCCTGCTTTGCTTTGTTCAACAGCTTCTTCTACCTTTCTCCTGCCATCAAGTACCATTAACATAATTTCTACTGTTACTACCTCAGTATCTGAATAAGGACCTAGCAGAGACTGGAAAAGACAATGCAAGTTGCATAAGCCTTTCTATTTTCAGCTTGCATTCCTAAAGTATTTCAATGCCAGAAACAGGAATGTCTTTTTATTCTGTAGTTTTACAGTATCTTCCGCAACAGGATCCTGAGCTGAGCTCCTTAGTGCAACTCCAGCCTCCAACAATGTGTACACCAAGGATTTTGTCCTCATCTCCTACCTAAAGAAAATTTTCCTCAATTTTCTGTAACTCATATTATAGCTTACTGTAAAAAAGTACACATAAGAAGACAGCAGATAAGTCATAACTCCCATCTTTACTGAAAAAATGGCCTCTCCATTTCTTACAGTATGCTGACCAGAAAGAAATAGGAGTGATGTCTATCACAGCTTCTAGATCTGACCTTAGCATTTCTGTTATTCACACCTTCATTATCATCCCTAAGAAAACAATGAATAAGCAACTTTCACAACCGAGGCAATGCATTTTCAAATACATATTTCATATCTAAGGACCAGACAAATCCAATAGAACACGTAATACATGTGTGCATCATTCCCTTAGGTCTCATGTGTAGCTTCTTCATGGATCCTTTGTTTTTAAATAATGTATTTGCCAACAAAGTCTAACTCTTCAGCATCTTCCTTACAGTACAAAGCACATTGTGTTATTAGATATAATATGAAGCATAACATGAAAAAACTCTACCAGGCTAGACTTAGAAACATGTCTTGAATGGAGATTAAGACAAAATGTATACAACAGAGGGCAACAGAAAGTGATCGTTCACTTGTATTCATGTTCAGTCTTTTGGCAGTCAGTTGCTTGATGTACAGCAACCTGAGGTTACATTTGGACTATTATGCTTAACAGCAACCAGTATTCTCTCGTGACACGCTGGCTAAATATTTGCTGCAAACTGCCTCAAAACAGTGACTATTTTTCCGTTCAGTTGGATAGAGGTGGGAAATTTTATGAATTATGAAACAAAAAAGGTGTGGAGAAATATGTCAAAACCTCTCAATTATATTGAAGCATGTTTGCCACAGGTCACAGCATGTTTGGTTTTTTTACACACTTCATAAATTTTATCTGCACAAACTGTGCTGCCCATGTTCCAGTCAAAGCCTTGCAAAAATTGCTCTGTCTCCTAGGGTCAAAATACTTTATGACAGACTGGGACTAGGACAAGGGAGATGAGTTCCCACCTGGAATCGCAGAGCACCTATTGAAATCTCAGCCCACTCTTCTTCTTCAAAGGACTCTGGTGCACTGATGACAATGTTGGCACGAAAGCGTCGGATTAGTTCCTCTATTTCCAATGGCTCTTCCAATCTGCCTTACAGAGTTGACGGAGAAAAAGAAAAATAAGGTTTAGTAACCAGCTCTGCACTAGATATTTGTGCTATAAGAATCTAGTGGCTAATATGATTTAGCAAATGTTTCTCCAGAACAACCTGGACCAAATTTTATTACAAAGGCTATGAAAATGGCACAAGGTATTTAACTATATTTTTTTAGCCTTCAGCTGTAATTTGTAATCCTTCAACTATAATTTGTAATCCTCTAGGTGGCTTCTTCAGAGGTGTAACCCAGAACTGTGAAGTAGATCTGAAAGCATGTAGACAGGTGATTGTGAACAATGCATATGAGAAAATTCCTTGTTAGTTATCATATGTAAGGCTAATGGTAACACATGAAAAGATCTTTTGAGTTAGCAATCATTTGACTCGTTAAATGGTTCTAAAAAGAAGGCAAATAGAAACTTATTCTGCACATGCTGCAGTGGCAAAAGGGACAAAATCAGCAGATGCTGAAGGTGAAAAAGGCCAGTAAAGGCATTTTATAAGAGAATGTATTCCTCATTTTATTATTATTTGCCTTTGGGATGCAGCAGATGATTGCACCAAATGATAGGTGTTTTGAAAAAAATTAATCTCTGTGTGGCAGTATCTCCACCTTTTTACAAGCATTTGAACTGCCAGAGTATATATTTGTGTCAGTGCAGAGAACATAGATGAGGCAGACAGAGCAGCAGACTGCATACAAATATCAGAAATCTGGCTGTACCTTTGAATTGTCATTCTTCACTCTTCTTCTAAAGGAGAACCTGACCAGTACCAGAAAAAAAGACAGCCCTAAAATTTGCAAGGGAGTTCTCTCAGCACCACTGTTAGTATGGAAAAGCATTTCTTTTTGCATTAGCTATTATGGACATGAACAACTTTTGATACTCCATCAGCTGTAGTCCGACAACTTTGGGATATGACATCCTACAGCAGAGGCAGAAACCTGGGTAAGTAGTGAAAAGAGAAGTTTCTGTCCTGGAAAAAAATATTTTAAAAAAGTAAGAACATACAGTTTAAAATGTGTTTTAATTAAAATGAGGGAAAACATGCAAAATCAAAGCACAGGGAAAACTGTTCACATCAAGCAGTCTTGGCAGAAGAGGCCTGTTAGGTGAAAGGAAGAGCTTGGTTTTATTTAAAATAGTCTGGATGATCTTCTTTAGCAGACAAATGTGCATCAGGATAAATTGCCTGTGCAGACTTTCAGTCAAATCACACACCCCTGCTCCACCGAGCCTTTGCTGTTCACAAGGGCTTCAGCAGCCTGGGGGTAGAAAGCGGGATGGGAAGCTGAAAGGCTACAGGTTTTCCCTTGAGTTCCCACAAGCCATACCATGGCTGAGACACAATTTGTAATGATTGCAGGACATAGGAGACAACAGAAAGTGTAAACTACGCCGATGCTCAGACAGACAGGGTGGAAAACAGCAGTTAGTCATGAACAAGTTCAGTTATGCTGTTGGGCTTCCTAGCTTTGCTGTGGGCTCTTGGAGCTTGGATGCTGTGTAGCCTCTAGTTTTGAAAGCATTTTTTTGACATGTCAGTGCTTGCCACCCCAGCTGGTACCGGTGGCGGCATCAAAAGCCCCAGTAACCTCAGAGCCAGGCCTGCAGCGTCCTGAGCCAGCTGCTGAAAACTATTTCTAGTTTCTACTGTTTTATCACTTGCTGCTGAGCCTCCAAGACTGCAATGCCCCTACTCCTACTCTCTTTGCCTTCAACTTGCTCAGGCTCACCTCCAAAATACCTTACCTCTCCTGCGCCTAATCCAAGCCCTCAAAACTGCTTCTAATTACTTGGCAGCAGGTATCTGAGTAAATGCCCAGGTGACAGGCACCTTCATCTTGCAAATCTCAACCAGGATCTGTTGTGAAAATCAGTGTATTTTGCCAAAGCCGGCCTGGGTACTGTGGACTTTCTACAGTACCGGGCCCTGCAATCCAGAACGCATTAGATATCTTTAACAGGCAAATTTGAAAATTAGTATTTGCATCTTTAGGGGCGTATTTCTAGCAAGAACATTCGAGCGTAAGGCCAGGACATGGGGATTTTCATGCAGGTGACCTGTAAAGAGGTCTGCCAGAGAGGCGGATGTCTTCATATACATATAGCTCTCCAACAGTATGTTACATTCTAATTTTTAATTAAATTGCTGTTTCTGTTTTAGATGACCTCAAGAGCCAAGTGCAAGCTGGAAGATTAATTTTTACTTACAGAATATACAAATAAAGAGAAACTATTAAAACTCAATTGAAGATTAAAATTGTTTTATAAATCTTAGCAGGTTTCCATTAAACAAAAACAAACCCACATGCCAAGAAGCTAAATAATACTTTCTAAAAAAGAAAAACACTTAATAAAGACCCATATGTGCAGATTCTAGAAAGTACATTGCACAGTATTTGGAAAGTTTGTACACCATGATTTAGTAACAGTGCAAAATGATGATGCTGTATATCTGCTGAATTCATTTCCCCAGCACTCTGAGAGAGCACTGCATGGCAAAATAGGGAAGAGTTTTCCAATTTGTGCTGCGGAGTGGGAAGCAAGATGCTTCTCAGGCATCATGGCAGCTCCAGTCACATCTGGAGTTTTCTTTGAAGAAAAGGAGATTACAAGCCTAGTTGTACTGGAAGATATTAGGCACAAAATCAGTGGATCATCTGACATTGCACGTTTTACCACAGTTCCCTGTCCTGCTTCATCCTCACTTGCTGCTCCCTCTGGTGCCTTACGCCTCTTCTTTGCACTCAGATCCCATGTCTGGAACGTTTCTCACTGGGTCTTACCATGGAAAAAGCCCAGTCTGAGTAATGGATGCTTGCAAGTGTTGTTCTCCCAAGGAGATGCAACTGAGCCAGTCAAGCCTCAAAAGAAGGCATTAACTAATCACTGAGAAAGGGTAGTCAAAACAGCTGAGAGATGGACTGATTCAAACCTTTTCCAGGCATTTTTCCCAGAGGAGCACTGCCATGATATGCTAAAATTGCCCAACTGTCTTCTCCTAAAGAAAGAAAACCCTCAGGCAATGCAAGCTCCAGTGGTCTGTAGTGATGCTTCATTCAGTCACTGGCTTTAAATCCTGAAGCTATATACATATCCTCCTACAGCTACATATACATAAATTCTTCCTCTATTCAAAACAGGAATTTCAATGCAGGGGGCATGTTTAGTGGCTGACTAAGAGGAGAGAAGATGACTCCAAGCAGAGGCAGGGATCTTTGGTGAGACAGGAAAAGGGGGCTCAGAGACAGATGCCGGGGCTGTGGGATGCACAGCTATGATGGAGGCCTTGGAGGCAGATTTTCTGTGGAATTTGAGCCTGTCCTACTTATATTCAAGAAACAGCAACTTTCTATTGTCAGCATATGAAAATTTATTTGGTAATGAGTTCCTTATCTTTGAACTGTGGGCTGGCTCAATGTTTCATTTGCTGCTTGTATCTCCCACTTTTGTACAAGTAAAGCCAAATTCAATTAAGAAATTAAAGTAATCCAGTCCTGTGAGTAGTTTTAAAATATTTCTGTTCTGAATGTTTGCTATAAATCTTAATCCTTCCCATAGGAAAGAAATAGTTCAACAAGTAGCAAGATTTTATATTTTCACCTGCCAGATTATTTATGTTGAGAAAACATAATTATCCTTGTTCTTCCCACAAATAGGAGTTGGCTGGTTCCCAATAGTCTCCTGCCATCAAATTATTTGACAAGAATTTTGTTTAAGTTTTCCTAAAGATGACTGGCAGAAAGATTATGTTCAAGTATTTAATCCAAATTTTCAGAAGTCATACAGGAATGAGTAATTCCACCAGTTTAGTACCCATATATTTGTTGAACATTGAAAAGTAACTACCTCTAAATTTCCAGACAAAACAGTTATATTGGCATTTGATGGCAAGATTCTGTAATCCAAGACCGCTGAGAGACATCTGGAGACAGAAGGATCTTACCTTGCAGAAATATGTTCTTTCAGCTGCAGAATGCTTGCTACATTTATCAGGAGGTATTGTGCTTCATTCACAAGAGAGAGTGAGATGTTTGTAGCAGATGCCAGACCTAAAAAAATGAATCCAATATTCTAAAATGATCATTAAAAATCAGGAAGATTATGCTAGTAATTTCACCTCATCTTTCCTTTGACCTCTTATTCATTCTCATTAAAAAATTATTCATTTGGCTCCAGACACTAAGGAAAGATTCCAAGAATCCCCTCAAACCTGTAAATGATAATGATGCAATGCATTTAGAAACTGAGATAGAGCTGAGATTTTACCAAATTTATAAAACAATTTACAAGCGCAATATCTGTGGATTTTTTATGCTCTTTCCATTCAATCCTTTTTTATAATGCAATTTAGTCTAAGAATAAATTCTTTTTTTATAGATTTTTCATGATAATTTTTTCAAAATTATCATTGAGTTTCCAGACAAAATCATGGTCATGATGATAAAAAAACCCTCAGACTGGTGTATCTGTATATTTTCACCAAATGTAACAAGTAGAAGGGCAGCAAAAACAAAGTTTGGGTATAAATGTAACCTTTGAAACCTACCAGATCAGTATTGAATGACTCTTTTGCCCTTTATCAGGATAATTATATAGTCAGTATGAAGTCCATGAGCCTGATGTTTACAAAGTGAGGAATCACAAATTTTTTAAGAATGACAACATACCTTTTGTATTTTTCTGATGCGACCTGTTTTTCATGTCTGAACTTTGTCTTATCAAACGACATGGACGACCAAGAAACAAAGAGAACCAGTCAGCAATTCTTTCTCCACAGTCATAAGTTTTTACCCTATTATGAGAAAAGAGGGACTTAGCAAAATTTGATTGCCCAAACATTAATTTGCAAAATTGCAGACAAATTACAAAGATGTTTATTCTGCTTCTTCCAATACAAAATACAGAATCTGTATTCTCTGATGAGTGATAAAACAGAGATGTGAAGTTCTGCTATTTTATCTCCCAGTTTCCTCAACTTTACTCTGTTAGTCTTGAAGTTAATATTCACGAGATCTAACTTAGTTTTATACAGAAAATTACTGTGGAATAAAGGATTAAATAATCGTAACGCTCAAGACACTGACTCTGAAGTACAGTAACTGGTAGCCCATATTACAATATTACAATACAGTATCATGAAAAAGTTATTCTCTGGTCCGTGATTTTTACTAAAACAAAGAGGATTAATCTGAGTTGAATTTAAGATTGCCTTACTGTGCCACACTGTATGTAATTTTTAATGATCCCATCAGGTACAATGATGTTAATTCCCTAATTTAATTCATGTTAGTACAGACACTCCACATTAAAACATGGCTCCACTAGCAGAGCCCAAGTATCTATCCATCTAAAGTATCTATCCATCTATCCATCCATCTAAAGATGGTTTCCATTACTAGTAAATTGTCTAGTGAGTTATGCAAGGCTGGCAACAGATTTGCCTCCTTTACCTGGATGCAATCTCTCCTGGAAGGATTTTGAGATCACCTCTCTCAGTTCAGGAAGGGTACAGATCAGACCACTGGGAAGTCATCCTATTTGCCCTTAGATTCCTCAGCTCTGAGTAATCTTAACTTCAATCTTAAATTAGTTATCTGGGTTCCCCTCACAGATAACGGAAAGAGGTAAGTAGTTCCGATCTGTTTTAGACCTCAGGATGGGATGACTCTCACTCTGGGAGTGTTTAACTCTCTTTATTGACTACAAAAGGAGATTTGACTGACATCTAACTTTTAAATGGCATAAATGGATAAGAGGAATGCAAATTCTTATGCCACTCTAGGCAGGATTCTTGTAGTAAGGAAAGTGAGGTAGCAGTGGTCCTCTGCTCACCTTTCTGTCCTATCCAGCCAAAGAAGCTGATCTGCATGGAGACCACCTGCTATGTGAAACAAGAAAACAGCTCCTCATAGCAAAAGATGCTAAGCCCTAGGACTGAGAGAAGTGTCTTGGCTTTACGAAATGCTTTGTAGGTTCAGCTGAGTTACACAGGTAGAAAGCCAGGACAAGTGAAATCAAAGAGATTTTTATAATCGGGCAGGGATCAGACATCTCTTCAGCGGTTGCTCTGAATTTTGATTGTGCTGCAGCTCTGCATCCCTCTCCCCATTCTGAGACTGGACTGATGCCAACCACAGCTGCATCTAGCCAGTGATGTCCTAGAGCTAAAATGAAATTTTGGTATTAGGAGATGGCACTGTGGCAAGAAACAAGGGCCAAAATGTGACACTCCACATGAGATTCTATAGTCTGAGCTGAGCAGTCTTGTGTCCTTGCTGGTCTCTGTGTTAGGGAGAAGGCTGCTAATGAGAAGGCACGAATCTGACATGGTAACAGTACAGATGAAACAAATTCCCCAAATATTTTTTTTCTACTTAAACAGAGGTGCTAGGGGTATTTAAATTCTCTCCTGAGCCAATTACCTCTAGCAGCCTGCTGGGGCTTAATACTGTATAAATCAGGATCAAAGTTTTGCCCTCTTGTTTATTTGCTTACCATTCTGAGTCACAGTGGCTGAGTTAGAGACACACAGCGTTCTTAGTATTTCATCAAATGTCACTGTGTGGTTTTTGTATTCCAAGACTCTTGTATTTTCAAATTGCTTTCCCTTATCATCAGACCATTTACTGAGCAACTACCATCATCTGTTCAAGGTCTTATTCAAAGTCCTTCTGTTGTAGCTCAATTCTATTCATTTTCTGCTTATGTTTATTTTTGTTGAGTATTACTTTACATCTGCCAGCATTACGTTTCATTTGGCACATGTCAGGCAATTTATAAAGGAGGGCCTAGTTCTCTCAGATTTTACTTGTTGTTTGCCTTGAGTTCCCCACTCATCTTCTTACTATGTCATTTAGCTTCAGTGCGTTACAGCTGGTCCCTCTAGCTAGGTAATTTATAGAACAAGAAACAAGGACAGCTGAAGTCTGAATATTGATCCCAAGGGGTATAATACATACATTTACGCACAACAGGCTCAGTTCACCCTGTTTTTAACTACACCTTTGTCATCCTCTACCACTGATACCCTTCCTTTGATCTCTTTGATATTGTAGCCTGTCGAAGAGGAGGCTGTGTCCCTGCCTATTTCAGTAGAGCACTAACCTTGAGCATTTAGGGGCTTCTACAACATCAATAACCTTAACATCACTAGCTTCTACTTGCATCTGTCCACTGTTAGATATTATACTAGAAAGCCATGTCCCTCCAATGTGAGCAGCATATGCTGATGGACAACCCCTGCTGAGATGAAGGCTAACATTGATGAATTGCTTCACAAGGGAAACTTGGGCTTATTAAACTTTCGTGGCTGCTGTGAAATTAAACTTCTTCACATGACCGCTTGCAGATTCTACATCATGTGCTTTTCTCAGCTATCTCAGTGTAAATTCAGAGTAACCACCTAAGCCAACAGAACTGGATGAAATCAGTGTCAGAGAGAAGAATTAGTAAGTGGAAAATGTCTTCAGTAGGGGTTTCTTTTGAATAAAAGCTTTTTAACAAAGACTTTTGGTCCCACTGCTCACCTCAGACCACAAATTACCTTCTGTCCTACTGCAAAGCAGTTTTGCTCCCATTTCCATTTTTTGGCCCTGGAGGCTCCCTTGCTGAAACACAGCAACCTGGCATCAGCGCTGCCGGATCTCTGAGCAGTTTGGGAGCCTCATCAACGTTGTCCACTCATTCTGCCTTTTACTTCCTGTCTTGTTTATTTGCTAATCACAGTCCACTCTGCGCAATTTGCCTTGCATCTCCCCTTTCTTTGTCATTCTGTCCTTTTCTTCCTCCTCAGAACTCTAAGCAGTTTCCCATGAAAATTTCCTATTTATTTCATACATTAAAAATGACACAGTCAGTGACATGAAGGAAAAGCTACAAGAAATAGTATATGCACACACAGAGAACGATAACCTAGGCTATTTTACAGCCTGTAATAGATGGGCTAACCATGGGGAGGCTAAGGATGAGTCAACACTAAGGGAAGTGGGACAGATGGTTAAAACAAATGACTCTTAGGTGAATTCCACTACCTGAGGAAAATATACTTTTGAGAAAAAGATCCTCTTTATCATCTGAATAGCTTGTAGAAAAGAAGAAGATAATTTCCTGCATGACTCCAGGGAAAATGGCCAGGTCTTCTGCTGGTTTGTTTATGTGTTACCCTCAGAGAAGTAAATGTAGAGGGTTACAAAGAATTAGTATACCTTGGTTGAAAGAAGACATAAATCTGTAAGTGACTCTTTTAGTTGGATTTACCAAGAGACTTAGCGAAAAGAAACGTAGTAGATAATGCAAATGTACTTTAGGAAGGCACTTGATACACTGCCACTCAGAAAACTTAATAAGACTGGGAAGTACTTAGAAACTATGACGGATAAACACTTAGAGTTCACTGATAGGAAATTAATTTATGCATAATATTATATTTCACTGAAGTGGTATGTCTCTTGATTAGAGTTAATGTTATTTTACATACTCACCTGCAATCTTCCCAAGATCATTAAGGGGACACTGATCAACATGGGTGGTCAAAACAAAATTAAAAAGGGTTGTAAATATAGAAAGCTGTTTATAACCTCAGTGGGTTCTAGCAATTTTGAATCCGCACAGCATGAAATGGGCAAAGTTGCCAGTATCATAACTGTCAAATGAAGGAACTGAATTCTAGGGTCCTCCTGAGGCCCTCAGTTTGCATTTGGAAGTAACTGGGAACACCTTTCCCTTTTCTCATCCTTGCGGCGAGTAAACCAAAGATTTCCCTTATTCAAGTGAGTGACAAGTCATCACAGTCTCTCGTACAGTCCTTCCCCCCCTTTTTAATTTTTGTTATTTTTTAGTGTTTTCTACCAGACATGCTGGGCATGCCAAATTACCTATCTAAATCTATCTTTTCCTGCTCCACTAAGTTATTCATTGCTTTCAACCCTCCCTCTCTTTTTTTAAGGACTTCTGCCCCTGTGTGTCCATCCAATCATGTCCTGAGCATCAGTGCAGTGATTTTCAGGTTCGATCCTTCTCTGCTTTTCTCACCTGTGTGAACAGACTTTACTCTCACAGATCACAGCGTCTTTTCCAGTATTTTCTTCTAGTGACACAGATATCGGGTCCATGCCTAGATGGGCAGAGAGCAAACCATATTTAAAAAAAAATATGCAGAAACATAGGGTCATGAAAAAAGTTCTTGTTTTTGCACCTCTTCACAATCACAGCTGCCTCCCAAATAGCATGTGACAAAAATCCTCTTTTTTTTTTTTTTTTCTAGAATTTTATTCTCTGCCTGCAGGTGGCTCCAAATGATAATGCAAAGAGCAAAGGCTGCAGATGACCTTGGTACCCAAACCACATTAAGGAATATACAATTTCAGCTTTGAGTAACTTCATTCTCTGTGTATCTCGGGCAACAAAACTGGCACAGAATTACTGCCTCAGTCATGGTTTCTGTTGAAAGGATGAGTTTATCACTGTTGTGCTCCCTCTAGCAAATCAGGAGATGAGGTTAATCACTGTCAGGGTTGGTTTATTTTGGAGTGGTGGGATGGAGCGATCAGAAAGATGAAAGATGAAAGATGAAAGACGAAAGATGGAGGTGGAGGGGGAGAGATAAAATAAGCACAGGCTGTTCAAGGGAAGAAATATAATGTGTCATAAAACAATAATTGAAAGATAAAATGTATGGAAACCACTAATGAGAGAATTATTCCCATCTATCCATCTCTAAGTTTAAACCAGATGAGGAATTCCTGGTAATGATCTATGTTAACAGTTTCTTCCATAGTTTTCTTATCTTGAACAGAATGAGCCAAAGAGATGGAAAAGCTACTGTGGCTTACTAGAACTAAAAGAAAAGCTGTACTATTTTCCTTTCTGTTAATTGAAAGCAATAATCTGAAACGATGAACAAAGGGTTTTACTGTGTGGCTGCAATGAATCCAACTCTTTTCCATTATATGGCAACATAAACCAGCAAAGACTGATGTCCTGTACCCCAGCTTTGTATCAGCATGTTTCAATTTCACTCATTACTTCCTGTTTATATTATCATAGTACAAGTTAGAATCAAGCTCTACCAGCTCTGTGATATGGTGAAATCAGATTGTTTTATTCTTTTCTGAAGAATAACGAAAGGTAGTTCAGATTCACTATATCTCAACTATCAGCTCTGTTCCACACAAGTTTTCAATACAGAAAGACATGTACTCCTTTTTTAGCTAATGATGTTAGTATCCTTCAGAAGCGAAGACAGAGGAGGAAAAGATAGGTTCACTTAGGAAAATAAACCACGTAAGTAATAAATGCATTGAACTTGCTTGCAACAACCTGAAAAAGAAGCCAATGTTATCATCTTATAAACTAGAACTAATGCTCTTGCACTTTGAAAAAATTAAACATTAGCATCATTCCTTCTGGAAAAGAAAAGTTTGAAAGGTTTCATCCTGTATGCATCCTTAGTTGTTACATCGTTTAAAAATACTTTCTAAGCAATGCATACTCACAAAATTTCTTAAAATAGAGTCTCAAGCCCTGCTTTTATACCCCAGCAAGTGTATCACATTTTTATTGAACAGTACACATTTTACAGTGATGTTTAGGTCAGTTAAACATTGTTAATTACAATTTTATTCTATCTTAAGGCAAAAAAATAAAGCAGAATATTGCCAGTTACTAAAATGTAAAAGCTGTCATTCTCCATGGTCATTTGCTTGATAATAAAATTCACAGATGTGCTCACAGTATTAATATAAAAAAAATTATTCTTGTCTTTATAGCTCCTATTTTCAGTCAATGAGAAAAATTAGAGGTCTGTTATTTCAATAGACCGAAATATAAACTATTCATGTATATTCTTTCGTCAGTGTATGCACTTAATTCCCATTATTTTTATTGGCAGTAACACATGACTATTTGAAGGCACAATAAACTCCATAAAGTGTAATTAGTTGCTCAGTTTTGCTAGCATCTTTCTACTCCAATATTTTAAAGGGCCTTCGCAACACTCAAAATTTCTCCCTCTGTGCAGTGGTAAACTAATGCCCAACTTGCCAGAGTAATGCTGATTGTTAGCTAAAATGGAAAGAGAGAAATTAGTCTTCTACAGAAATGTATTCTCAGCTAAATTCTGTTTGGCTTACTTTTATGTCAGTCAGGAACAAGCCCAGTGTAATCTGTGCCTTCATGTGTTTGATGGAGCAGGACAAGAAGATTTCCCTTGATTCCCACTCAAGTAATACGGCTTCTAGAAATAAAGGCTCTTTCTCCTGCCCACCTTTAAGTTGCTGGGAGCCTAACCATTAAATGCTTCAGTCAAGATACAAGAAGTTGTCTTTCTCCCCAGGGGCTTATTTAAACTTACACTGATTTTCTCAAAGTGGGTCCTGTGATAGCAAGGGTTAGTTACACTCTTCACGTCAAAAAGAATAGGAAATGCCTGTTAACAGCCACATAGCCTAAGAAAATAACTCTGACAAAATTCAGAAATGCAGTTTCTCAAAATTAAAGTCTCACTCCCTCTACTGAAGTAAAGTACAGCCAATGAGAGACCAAGCACAAGCCCTTCCTCTCCCTCTGCTCTCATTCACCCCCTTCCTCAGGGATCAGGGGAATACCTGGAGCTCCCCAGCTGCCATGCAAGCCAACTAATTTTGTAGGCATGCCAGGGAAGGATCCTAAGCCTTCAAGCAGTTTTGGCCTTGTCTAGAGTCCCAGGCTGATGTCCTTGCTACCCACAGGGACGGCAGGATGGCACAGCTGGGTCAGTCAGACAGTGGGTCTGCCCATCCAAGGCTGGTTGTTAGACGGGCTACAGAGACACGCTACGCACAGGGATTAAAGAGTGAACATGAAGTGGTGTCTCGGCACAAAGAGGATTCAGTAAAAGGTATCAAAGTAGTTATTGTCACACTAAATCATGCTGACAGTTTTATTTCGTTGGACAGAGAAGACAGAGAATATTAAACCATATTGAAATGAAATAGCCATAAACAAATTTTCCACTAGTGAAAAGTTCTAGAGGGAGAGGAAAGCACGTGCCTGCAGGGGGAGAGAGAACAGACTCATTATGTTTTAAAAGTGGCACAGATAAAGTCTTCACCATAGTCTAACACTGTAAGAGAAAAATATTCTTTAAGAATGCCACATAATTCAGCTATGTGGGATTCACCTCACTGGGCTTTAGGCACTTACCAGAGGCACCTAGTCCAGCAGCATCGTTTCCTTAGGCTCTCTCTATTGGAGAGAGAGACCTCCAGACAGCAAAGCATGCTCTAGATGGAGATCACTGCCACAGCCTGCTCTCACAATGAGAAAAGCACAGATGACAGCAGAGAAACTTGTAGAGAAAGCAGAGTGGTTACAGCAGAGGAGCAGGAGGAAGGCAGCTAGCTTGACTGCAGTTGTCACCTGGTCAGCTGGGAGCTGCTGGGTTTTCACGGTCAGCAGAGCAAGAGGTGCCGTAAAGGTGCAGCTCAAAGGTTTTGCCTCTCTTTTTTTTCACCGCTGTCACCTGCCTCACCCACTCCTCACCACCAGAAATGTCCCCATCAGACTGAGGAGAACAGAGGAACCGCATAGGGAGTGTGAGGGCAGGGCGAGGAGAGGGGGAGTTGGAGGAAACGAAACTCCTCTTGGGAAGACGCATGCTACTGTAGCTGAGGAAAGGCAGTTCGAGTGGGAGGCAACTGGTGGGAGAAAGAAACTCACAAAGCAACAAAGCTGGAAGAGACCTGGAGGTGGCTGTAGTCAGCAGGCTAAGTGCTACAAATCTGAAATACCATTAGCCGCAGCCGTAGGCCAGTGAAGGCTCTGAGCTGCACAACAGCCAGCCTGGCTCATCAGAGGGCTACTGCTCCTCACTGCACTGATTGCTGCTCCAGCTACACATGTGGTGTTCAGCTTCAGGTCCTACATTAGCAACAAACTACTGACAGGCTGGAGAGAGTGGTGACAAAAGCAACAGTGATTAACATGGGATTTTCAAGGAAAGAGTCAACTTAGTAAGTTAAATTTGTCTGCCATGAAATGATTTAAGTGGGAGATATAACAATGAAGGGATGTGTATGTGAAGGGATAAAGGAAAAAATTAAAAATTTAACACCAACAAACAAAACATGCATTTAGACTGCAGGTAAGAGGGAAGAAAACAGAATAAATATTGGAACAACTTCCTACACATTTATCTGCTCAGTCTTACCCTGTCTGTTTGTATGTGTCCCATCACTGTACTATCTATCTTATGGGCAGTAACCTCTGGAATAGTCTCCCAAGGAAATGAGAGCCATTATCTCATTGGCAAGCATTAAAAAAATACCACAGGTTGCAAGCACACTATGAGAGTGAAAAATAGCAGGAATATTATAAAAAGAAGGTCCAGACCACCTTACAGGCTAAGATTATTGGTATCTAGAGTCATTATACAGAGAGTAAAATGACTCCACTCTTACATACTGGCTGTACCAAAGCAGGCTATAAATAAATGCCAACCATGTTTCTGTTAGAGCACACTGAAGATCTGATAAATCACTTTGGGGTGGAAAAGTGATCCATAGACTTGGTCAATCAGTTCTGGATGGAAATGGTTCTCACTTTCATAGGCAGGTAGGTGAATGACAATGAAAACTCCAAAAATGACACAACGTAAAATGTAGGATTTAAAGGTGAATTTCACCCTGGCGCTAACTATGGCAAGAGACTGGAAATCTCAGTGAGAAATGGGTTCCTTGACTGTCATTTTTGTTTAAGAAAACTTCTTCCTGACTTTCTGAAGTATGTCACTGCAGTATTATTGACAGGCAAACATAGTAATGGATATGCACTTGTCTGAACAACGTGGTACTAGCAAGAAAAAAAATTAAGAACATACCTAGAAGAGCAGAACGAAGCAATCAAAAGGCCCAACAGAGCTGAACCTCTGAAAATGTGAAGGATAAATGGAGAAGGTTTGAAAAAGACTTCACATTGTGTCTGCATGCAAGAGGCACCGTCAGAAAGGAAGAGAGATGGAAAGGAATTGAATTTCTAGAAATAATTAGTTCTGAAGCACTTGGTAATGTAAAAGTTGTGAGAGAAGGCTGTCTATGCAACTGTACTACAAAAATTTGAGGTGCGAGGTGCTCCACATAGAATTGACATGAATTAACAGTACCTTTTCAAAGAAAGATTACAAAGGGAAGAGTGGAAAGTAGCAGCGTTTGTGCCAATGAGGCAGTCTGGAATCTCTAAGAAGAGACTAGATTGTGTTTGGGATCTGAAACACACACAAAATCACACAAGACTAGTGGAAGTACCCAAATGTACATTTGACAAACCTATTCCAGACAAAAGAAATCAACTGGTCAGACTTAATTTTATGGAGAGTGCTCAGACAGTTGGAGAGGACAACTGTAATGTACAAAGAGAAAGGAGACTGTAGTTACAGATCCACTCATATGGATTTCTAATAAAGGGTGAAAAATCTGAATATAGGTTCCTTTGTTTTGCTCTAGCTGCTGTAATATTATATATTATTAACAGTTAAGACACACAGGCTGAGTAAATGTTAGACCCCAGGGAAATGACGAACACCATTTGGACACATTGAAACTTGGCATTAATAATGACTTCTGTGGAATACAAACCTGTTCCAGTGTTCAGTGCTAACAGCACTGTTAGCAAAATAAGTAATTTGCACCCCAAGTAGCAAAGGGCTTTCCGTAATACTTTCCTTAAGGTTTTTTCTTTTTTTTCCCCTCGGCAGAGAATAAAAAGGGTTTTGAGGAACCCAGAGAAGCCCAAACATCACGAAATATTTGCCTGCTAGTGCAAGTATTTAACTGAGCTAAATAATGTGTGCTCCTTATTTTCATTCATACTAATTTCCACTGAAGACTCTACCCCTCTAGTCCCACCACTGGAAGGAGGAAGAGAGCTATAAAATGGGAAGGTCTTTGGCCAGGGTGTTTGGTGTTAGACTCCTATTCCTTTACCTTTGCAGCAATAACAGTCCCTTTGGGCTGATGGACTTCATGATGTGGAAAGAGACACTAGTCAGTAAATTTCCACATCTGTCTTTTTATTACTCCTTCCTGGAGCATCCACTTTATGATTGCACATAGGGAGTCACTGTCTACTCTCTGCCCGTCCCAACAACAAGCCAGGAAACTACCCAGGGCTGTATATTACAGCCTAGGCTTTCTTTGCCCACAGCTGGTAGTGGAATTTGTCCCTCAAGTCAGTAAGCATACACAGCATTCAGTAGTTTGGTGGGTGCATGCAGGTGTCTCTGTCTAGAAGTTTGACATAAATAATGAAGGGGAGAAAAGGATATTGGTTACTAACCTTCCGCCTGGATGACCATAACCTTTTTCTTCAGATCAATTGAGGGATTTACAAGACACAGCCTTGGCTCCTGCTTCTGAGTCATGCAGACCCCATTCTGGTTTACAACCATCCAGTTACGGTCATACAGCAAACCCTGGTTTCCCACTGGCCATTCTGAAACCTGGAAAAGCATCAGAAGGGCATACAAAGTTTTAGAAAATGTTAGCTGCATTAATAGATTCATGTTGAAAAGAAGAGAGGGAAAATAAACCATTAATGAAATACTTTGAAATCAGGAAAACTTGTGTGAGCCAATGTCAGCCTTTAATAAGAGAAACCTTAATTGCAAATCAAAGATATCACTGCAGAAAGCTGACAAAACAAAATGGAGTTACTATAATTTGTTATATATTATCATACACTTTGATTTAACAGAACTATGAGAATAAACAACCTCTGAAACGCTCTGAAAAATGCTTTCAGTTTTATACTCATCCATTTTCAGGACCTTTTCCTCCCAACAATTTTCTTTTAATTTACAAAGCATGGACATTTCGTGGAGTTGTATGAATTAAGGCAAAACCAAATAAACAAAAAGCAAGAAAAATGTGAAATTCAAAATTCTGAAAAAACTTCCGTATTTTTCATCAAACTGGACCCACTTTATCAATGAATCCATCTGAGAAAACCTCCACCACTAAGGTTTCTGGTTTAGCTGGGAGCATAATAGTTTCTCCAGATCCCCTTACAACAAAACACATTGTCTTCCTTGCTATCTGTTCTTCCATTACTTCTATAACACTCCTTACATTCAATAGCCTATACAAGCATATTGTCCTTGCTTTCATGTACATTTTTCTGGTGAAAAGAACATCTGTTTCTGATGCTACACAGATGGTAATCTTGAAATCCAAAAAGAGAGCAATTTTAGTAATGCCTTTGGGTGATATTAATAACTGCTTTCTCCTTCAGAATGTTAAAATATTAATACCATTCTTTTAACATAAAGCTGGGCATTTAAACATATTGCTTCAACTCATGTATGCTTTCTAGTCACAGTTGAGTTTGGAGAAAAGTTAACTATAGCTGAACTTTGTTGAATTCTTGTAGAGAAGCTTAGTGCAGCTCACATGAATTAACTGGCAAAAGACTTTAGCAAAAAGTATTGAGAAAAGAATATGTCAGGCACAGCCTGATGCTCTGAAGAAAAGCATGTCTGGAAGCACTGGTTAGATTAATTAAAAATCACATTTTTGTTTAGCATGTGCTCTATCCAAAACCCTGCAGGACTACAATATCCCGTTCTTATAAACTTTTCCAGGTTTTATAGGAGCCTGTAGCAGTACCTTGACACTGATGGCCTGACTAGAGAAAGCTGAGGGCAGGCACCCTGAAACTGAAAACTTAAAGTATTAAAGCTGAACTCTAAATTTGGCCACAGCGCTATGAACTGTATTGAATACAAAAAATACATGGAAAAATTTTAAAGATAAGAAATGTATTTTATCAACCTACTTGATTTATAATATTCTTTGGCAGTTTTTTAAGGGAGTGTGGATGAAAAATTAAGTAAAAAATGGAAACTTTAGATCTGACAGTGTCATCTGAAACCATGTTGTCCAAGCACCTCAAACTGTCAGCACCTAAATAATGTGAACCTTTGCTCTGTCTTTTTAGGAGAGGAATCATAGCGCAAAGACTGCAATATCAGCTGAAGAACAGACTTTTGTCCTTGCTGGAAATTATTCTTTGGAGAGGCCAGTATTTTTTTGTTATCCTGTATAATTAAATTACAAAATGCATTCGAACAGCTGGTGATCATCTGAGAGCTGCAAGAATTTCCTCCTAACAAATCTCCCTTCCAAAACAGAAGATCACTAATTGGTAATACATCCTCCTATGGATCCAGCAGATCTTTACAGGATTTGCAAGACATAATGAGCAGAATAAATTAAAAGAGCAGAAAAATAGAAAAAGAGCATGAAGACAATGATTCCTAGCTCCCTATTGTAACATTCAGTTGTTTTGGTTCCACTTCAGGACAGCAATCTTACTCAGGAAATAGCTTAAGTGTTTGCTTACCCTTCACTGAAGGTAAGAGGTTTTATGAGCAAAACAAAACATCTTCTCTTTACTCAGAGCTTCTGCTAATTGTTACATGCTGATAGACATTGTGGGGAAAGCTCAGCTGACTTGGTAGCAGATACTTGGAAATAATCAACACCTTCCATTCAAAATACCCCTGCTGGGTCCAAAATAATGGCAAGTAACTCCATACTCCACTCCGAGATGCAGCACATGACTGCAGGTCTTCAACCCATTTTTCCCCTTCCTCTGCGTATTTGCCATTGTAACAAGAATCACACATACATGTGCCCAGCAGTGAGCCCCTGTCCCCTCATGGATGTCCCCTGTACGCTATCAAGTGCCTTACTTCCTCTCCCTTTTTCAACTTACTCTATCGCGTATGTTGGTAGGACCCCAATAAATGAAGTTGCAACAACAAAATAACTGTGTACCCTGCCTTGGACGGGGAGTCACAGATGATCATGAAACAGTCAAGCTGGTTTGTTGCTTATAGTACTCGAGGTGCGGCCTCACCACTGCCGAGTACAGGGGCACTATCACCTCTCTGGTCCTGCTGGCCACACTATTCCTGATACAGGCCAGGATGCCATTGGCCTTCTTGGCCACCTGAGCACTCTGTGGGAGGGGGAGGACAGAAGGAAGTCATGGACACCATGATTTTGCTGATAGATGCTAGCATACACCTTTATTCCCAGCATGGCAGGTGGGCTAATCATCCAACATAAGGTCTTCTCTACCTGTCATAAGTAAGGATCATTGCATAGTACAGCCAGTACATAGTTTTATCCTATCATCTGCTTTAGTCCATTTTTCTTCTTGTGATGTAAAAAGATTCATTGCAAAAACATGTTTTTGTTTTTTTTCAGCATTTTATTTAAAACATTTGGGGCTGCATTTTTCCATAGTTCACAGTAATGTCAGCATGAAGGCTAACACAATTTTCGAACACATTAAAGGAATCACTGAATAGGTTTTAAATTATGCAAGTTTAAAAATGTTAGTGGTCTTACATATAATTTATCCACTGATCACTAGGAATTTGCATTGTATTTTAAGTTAAAAGCTAATTTGTCTTCTGTGTTGAGATGCAATTTTTATACTCTGAAATCTACTGCACGAATAATAAAGTTATTAATGTTTAAAATCCTAACCTTTTTCACTGGGGACACTGCATTATGTAATTATGCAAAATTCATCGACATAAGAGATGTTAATGTTTAAAAATGCATGTTTAAAATACATTTTTATGTTGGAAAAGAAGAAAAAAAGTGATCTGGGATAGAGGTTACTCGTCTTCTCTGCTTCTCCCCATTTAATAAAAAAATTGTAGGGA